CTGTGATAAATCAAGCAGCTGACCAACCATTACCTTTCCTCCCTGTTGATTCTATGTTACTAATACAAAGGGCTGTAGAAGCTCAGGGCCCTTGCTCACTAGAAACAAGGAGCCCCCAATCCCTTCTTTTAAGACAGATCGTTGTCTTTGTCTTCATTTCTGTGTTCATCCTCCTTCGTTCAGTCCCATAGTAACTGTCACTGGAAGGGGCTGTCACTCTGTCTTTGTCCTCTTAGGAGCTGATGGCACATACATTAGACAATAACTAAACATGAGCTGCAGTATTTTCTATGCAGACAGACCAGTTAGTCAGAGATGGTGCTACCATAGACTCCAACCTCTATCTCCTGAGACTTCTGGCCTGAGAAGATAATTGCCCTAGGGAGTCTTCTCTTAAACAGTACTCAGATCTTCAGAGGTTTTCAAGTGGATGAAGGGATTCTGGTGCCAGATGTAGTGATCAAAACATGAATTTCATTTCTTCCTCTAGGCCAGTGGGCAGAACCCCAGGTGCAGGCAGAAGAAGAAAGAGCTGTTGTTTCCTATGAATGGAAATCAGAAACCAGTATTTAAGAGTTTAAGCCAAATTAATGATCTGCATTTCAGGGCCCCAGATGGTGTAGGTTGGATTACCCCACCATATATTGCTTCAGACTTTACCCTGTCAGTTAGTGGGGGGTGATGGGCTTGTCACATTTCTCATTTATTCAGCTGGATGAGCAGATCATGAGAAATGGGGAAGGTCTATACTAGAACAATTAAATGCTTTTAGAGCCATGTCATTATCTTCCCTCACTCCACTGGAATATAAACTCTATAAAAAGGGAGATTTTTGTCTGTTCTGTTCACTGTTCTATTTTTATCACTTTGGACAATGCCTGGCACATAGTAGCTTTTTTTATTTGTTAAATAAATTAATGCATTTCTCCCAGAGCAACATCATTGTGTGGGCTCTTTAGGGACCTTTCTTTTGCCCTTGCTTGGCCCACGTATGCATCTTTCTCCAAGGGAAGTATTTGTGGACTGCATGTGGGTATTCTTGAGTTTCTCATTCATTAATTGCCTTGTCAGATTGAACAGCTGACAGTACAGTCCTTTGTACTGAAGAAATATCTACAGGAATGTTTTCTGCTGATGGACTTAGAGTTTTCCACTTCTGATAGATTTATTAGCAACAAAATAAAGCACACACACATACACAAAACACACACACACATACACTTTTTGGGCATGTGTGATGCATAAGTAGAGCTGGTAATTTGTCATCTCTAGACAAACTCAGAGAGAAAGGATGCAGTTTGTATCAGTCAGGGTGAACTAGGCTATGCTACCTAATAAATAATCCTCCAAATCTCGGTGATCTATAACACCACAATCTTTTGCTCTCACTACTTGTCCAGCATGGGTCAGCTGAGAGATCGTCTATGACCCGGCTGATGGAACTACCCATTATAAGTGTGGGATTGCCCATTATAAGTGTGGGAAAGGAAGCAATTATGTGCTCCAGCCTAGACATGGTGTACATCATTCCAGCTCATAAGTCATTGGCCAGAGCTTGTCACATGGTCCAAGTGGAAATTGTAGTACTATCTAGGGGGTTGATATGCTTTGGATCTGTGTCCTCACCAAATTCCATGTCGTATTATAATTCTCAGTGTTGGAAATGGGGCCTGATAGGGCCTGTTGGGAGGTGATTGGATCATGGGGGCAGAGTTCTCATGAATGGGTTAGTACCATCCCATCGGTGCTGATAGTGAGTTATGAGATCTGGTTATTTAAAAGTGTGTAAAGTATGTAGCACCTTCCCCCATCTCTCTTCCTCCTGCTCCAGCCACGTGAAGTGCTGGCTGCCCCTTTGCCTTCTGCCATGACTGTAAGTTTCCTGAGGTCCCTCAAGCAGCAAGAAGTTGCTATGCTTCCTGTACAGCCTGCAGAACCATGAGCCAATTAAACCTCTTTTCTCTATAAATTACCCAGTTGCCCAGTCTCAGGTATTCCTCTTTTTTTTCTTTTTTTTTAATCAGGTATTTCTTTATAGCAATAACAGAATAGACTAATACAGGGGTGGATAACTGGGTAATAACTACCACAGTTGTTTTACCACAGTGTTCTAGATTGATTTTATTTCTGCCAAGTTCCTTCCTTCCTTCCTTCCTTCCTTCCTTTCTTTCTTTCTTTCTTTCTTTCTTTCTTTCTTTCTTTCTCTCTCTCTCTTTCTCTCTTTCTCTCTTTCTCTCTTTCTTTCTTTCTTCTTTCTTTCCCAATCTCTGGCAAATAACTATTTTTTCTGAGACGGAGTCTCACACTATTGCCCAGGCTGGAGTGTAGTGGTGCTATTGTGGTTCACTGCAGCCTCGACCTCCAGAGCTCAAGTGATCCTCTCACATTGTCCTCCCAAGTGTCTGGGACTAAGGACATGTGCCTCCATGGCCGGCTGGTGTAGTTTTTCCTAACAGAACCCGAGAGCACTTTCCTAGAGAGCAGTAGTTGAAAAATTAGACTGGCCATTTTGTAACCTCAGCAAACTAGGTCTTGCAGCAGTAATGATCATAGACTTCGAGTCAGGGAGATGCACCTCTGCTACTTAATAGTTGTGTGCCATTACATAAGACACTACATCTCTCCAAGATGAGTACTATCCTCTCTAAATCGGGTCTTACTCACAGATAACATGAAATTGTTGTGAAGATACTAGATCATCTAGTGAATTGCTTAGTATACAATATCTGGTACGTATTACCAATTCAGTACATGTGAGTTAGCTTGGAAGATAAAAAGTCTTACATTTTATTAGTTGGTGCTTCTTGAGCCAAGTTTTCTTGGCAGGTAAAGCTTTTATGTTCTCAGGAGGTCTGGCAATTAAGATTGCTCAAATTTCTCCATGGGGGAATGTTCTTTGAAATGATTCTTTGGCTTACCAGTTTCAACTTATATTAATTCTCTTCTTCCACACACACTCTTTCACTGATATTCTCTTTACTACAGAATCTCTGGAAGTCTCTTCTTTTTAAAAAATTTTCTGATACACACACACACACACACACACACACACACACACATATATATATATATATAATTTTTTTTTCAGACAGAGTCTCACTCTGTTGGCTAGGCTGAAGTGCAGTGGTGAAATCTCAGCTCAATGCAACCTCCGCCTCCCTGGTTCAAGCAATTTTCATGCCTCAGCCTCCTGAATAGCTGGGATTGCAGGTGTGCCCAATCATGCCTGGATAATTTTTGTATTTTTAGTAGAGATGGGGTTTCACCATGTTGGCCAGACTGGTCTCAAACTCCTGGCCTCAACTGATTTGCCTGCCATGACCTCCCAAAGTGCTGGAAGTCTCAATATTAGTCTCAACCTTGGCTATCCATCAGAATCCCCAGGGCATTTTGCAAAAGACCTATGCCTGAGTCCCACCTCAGACCCATTAAATCAGCTTCTCTGGGAGTGGGGACCCAGTCATCTATATTTTTAAGGCTCCTCTGGGGATTCTGGTGAGCAGTGAGGATTGAGAACTGCTGCTCTACGTGTCTGCTTTTGCCCACATCTCCAGCCTCATCTCCTGCCACTGTCCTCCCCTTGCTCACCACGCTTTTTTTGTGTTCATTGAACATGCCAAGGTGGTTCCTACTTCAGGACTTTGGCATTCACTGTTCCCTCAACCTAAGTGTGTTGCTTCAGATTTCCATATAACTGATTCTTGTTCATGAGGTCTCAACCCAAATGTCATGTCTTCAGAATTTCATTCCACTGCCCATTCTAAAGTAGCACTCCTCATCTGGTTTTACATGAGCTATTTGCTGATTAATTTGCTTATTTCCTGCCTGTCTCCTCATTAGAATGTGGACTCCAAAAAAGCAGAGCTCTTGTCTGATTTATTCACTATTATATGTCCAGGGTTTAGAACAATATCTGGCACATAGTAGATACTCAATAAGTATTTGTTGAATAAATCATTCTTGTCTGCCGTTAACTAATATAATTACAAAATGTCATTTTAATGATGAGTCCTTACGATATATTTACAAAACAATCATTTCCTTAGAAGCAAGTCTTGCAGTTTCTATTTTCTCATGCCCCTTTACATAGTTTATATTGTTTAACTATTTTTTATAGGGAGAAAAAAGAGATAACGCTATAGATAAATACCTATTTTTATTATGATTATTGTACCTATGGCCTTTGCTCTATCCTGTTTTCCTGTCCATTTTGTTCTTTTCTCTCACTGGTTACCATCATTCTGAAGGTTTGGGTTTGAAGGCATTGATGTTTCTTTTCCTTAAACTTCTCTCTCTAGCGATCATTAAGAAAAAGAAAGACTAGGGAACTTGAAATGAAATGTCTGGGTTTGAATTCTGACCCTGCAATTTCCAAGAGCAGGTCATTTAACCTCTTTGAACTTCAGTTTCCTCATTAATGAAGTGAGGACACTAATAGTTTCTCACAAAACTATTTTTTTGAGTTCCTGTCTCAAAAACCTGTAGTAAAAGAAAATGAGAAAATATAGGTAAAATTATCTCCTCCTTGCAGAAGCCGTCAGCAAGTTCCTCAACTTGCAATCTTTCCCTTTCACTCAGTTTTTCTCTCTACATCCCATCTTCCCTGCTCAGGGTCAGGAGGAGGGTGCTCTGGATCCCTCCTCTTTGTCTCTGCAGTGGCCTCACCCATTTTTCCCTCTCTTTTCTCCTCCAGCTTCTCTCTTACTGACCCTTTCTCACAAGCAGTCAAACATGCTGACATTGTTCCTCTATCTTAAAAGCCAATACCTCACTCTAGGCCTGTTGCTATATTAATGTTTCTCTCCAGGTTAAGTTCTTTTTTGTCGTTGTTGTTGTTTTGAGACAGGGTCTTGCTCTGTCACCTACGCCGGAGTGCAGTAGCCTGATAACAGCTCACTGCAGCCTCAAACTCCGGAGCTCAAACAATCCTCCTGCCTTGGCCTCCAGAGTAGCTGGAACACAGGTGTGTGTCACCATGCCTGGCTAATTTTTTATTTTTTGTAAAGATGATGTATCACTATGTTGCCCCTCTGGCAGGCTAAGTTCTCAACAGAAAAGTTCACTTTAATTGAGGCTTTTACAGCCTTTTCTTCTAGACACCCCTCCACACACTACATTGGCCTCCTGCCCCAACTTCTCTCCTGAAACTGCTTTTGCCATAATCATAGGGACCCTCTGGGTGCCACATTCAGTTTTTCATTATACATATTGATCTCTTAGCAGCATTTGAAACTATTAACCAATTCTTCTTACAACTTTCTCTTTCCTTGGTTTTTATCATATCATTCTCTTCAGCGTTTCCTTTTACCTGTCTAACTCTTCCTTCTTCATCTCTTTCCTGGACTCTTCTTAAATATTGGCATTGTGGGGGCTTCACCTTTAGCCTGCTGTTCTTCTGGAACTATATTCTATGCCTGGGTGACCTCATTCATGTTCATAAATTCAATCACCATTTATACACTGAAGATTCCCCAAGTTCATCTCTCATTTAAGCAACTCTTTTGAGATTTAAACCCATTTCTCCAACTATTTCCTGGTATTTGCTGGACATCTTCACCCAAATGTTCAATGAGCACCTCAGAAAATCAAGAACATAACAATTCTTGAACATATTCTCTTGTTCCTAGAATATAAGTTCAGGAAGATAGGAATTCTTACCAATATTGTTTATTGCTGTATCCCTAGAGCTTATAATATTGTCAGACACATATTAAGTGCTCAGTTAATATTGGTTAAATGAGTGGACATTTCCCCCACCAACCTATTCTTCCCTCTGTATGGCAGTAACATTTGCCCAATTATAGCAACACAGTTTTTTGTCATCTCTTTTTTCCTTAATCCTTATATCCCATTGGTTTCCTATGTCCTGCATATTTAACCTGCTCAATCTAAAGTTCATTCCTTCTCCTACATTCTCACTGATATTTTTCAGGCCTTTATAATCTCTCCTTCGTTTGTATCATCATTTTTCTTATTCATAAGATGGGGATAATAATAGGCGCTATCTCATAGGACAGTCATAAGCTTCAGTGAGGTAGTATACCCAAACTCTTAGTATGGTGCTGTGATGACTCAGTAAATTTGGCAAGACAGCTGTATTTCTTATGTATCTATATGGATCTCTACAAATACATCTACGTGCATTGAGAGGACAGTCTCATTCATCTCCATATTTTAGTGTTAAGTCCTAACCCAGGAGAGAGACTCTTGAACAGATAAATACATTTGCTTTGTAGTGTCAATAAAGTCATGTCCTTGTTGAACCTCAGATTGCTCATTTGTTAATTTGAATTTGTGCTTTAATGTCAATCAAGTCACGTCTTTGTTGGACTTCAGGTTATTCATTTATTAATTCAGTTAGCTAGACTAGCTAGGATCATTTTATAGCCGTTTCATAATACAAAGCACGTTGATAGCCATTAACTCATTTCCATGGTTATTCTTCATTTTATTTTCATAGCTATTATTATCATTAGCCCCCCAGTTTTACAGGTGAAATGACTGAGACTTAACAGGGTGTGAGTTGTCCATAACCCGTCCAATACTTGTTAAAAGCAGAATCAGGATCTGAACCCAGTCTTCTAATGCTAAGTCCTATTGTTCTAAATATTCAGGTGAAAATATATGCATTTTATTTTCATGTTTCAGGACGTTGTTTGTGGTCTCTTATTGCACAGTTTTTTCTTGAGTCAGTTGGTGGTAAAGGATGAAACTTAGTGGTAGAAGCCACCCTAGGGCCCTAGTTCCTTTGGCTTACAGAAGAAAAAGAAACAATAAAAATCCATTTGCTTGAGAGGTTGTGAAATCAGAGGAAAAAGCCACCTCGTCCCACACCCCAATTGTAGTCAAGAGCCAGACTTTGCTGCGGCATTTTTGGCAGATTGAACCCTTTGTCTGTGTTGACATAGATGCTGAGGGGAGCTTTCTTTATTCTGAGATAAAGAGACAGGATCTGAGATTATAAAAGCTTTCACATGTCAGAGAAAGAACCGGTGGGAACAAATTCATTCATGAAACTGCCTTAAGGAACTCCAGGTGTTGAGGCACTGGGAGAGACATACACAAATGGATAGATGTCAGGTTTCCAGGAGCTCCACCCAGCCACCATCATAAGTACTCATTTGGGGAATCCAGATTGTTCATTGCGTAGCCCAGTGGCTTTTCAAGTATGTTTTGTGGACCTTCAGAGTCAGAAGAATTGGGGGTATTTTCACTTTTTGCCCTATTTACATGATTTTTCTAAACCATTTGAAAGTAAGTTGCAGACATTATTTTCTTTTTTAAATTCTTCAGCATTCATCTTTAAAACATGAGGACATTCTCCCACATAGCCATAATAGGAGAATATTATGACCTTAGATATTTTCACATCGAAGACATTCATAATTCCTAAATATCATTTATAACCATTCCACACTAAAAATGTCAATTGTCCCAAAATGTCTTTTATAGCTTTTTTAAAAATCCAGGATTCAAGTAGGTCTCCTGCAATGTAGAAAAATTCTCTTGCTTTTATTCCCCATTGTCTTTGAGAAGAATCCAGGTCAGTTGTCTTGATGAGGATCTCACATACTGCATGTGTATTTTTTTGTCCTCGTGGTCTCAATTAACTTGTTCAGGGAAACTGGCAGTCTACTACTTTGCTGAGAGTGCAAATTGAGGTCATCTTTCTGGAGGGAAATGGGTAATATATTTTAAAACTTTCACAGACTTAGGTTTAAATTAAGCTGGAGCCAGATTAGATTCAGGCTAAACACTTTTAGCAGGACTTTTCATAAATAATCCATGTATAATGCATTGCACCATCTTACTAGGCACATGATGTCAGATTGTCCCACTATTGATGATGTTAAATTTGTTCAGTTGGTTCAGATGGTGTCAGCCACATTTTACAAGTGTAACTTTCACCTAGAGGACATAGCATCCAATTATGATCCTTACCTGAATCAATCATTGGAAACTGCAAAATGTTGATTTCTAAATTCTATTACTCCTTCTACTTTTACTAACCAGAGTTTTCCTCTAAAAATAATTTTTCTCCCTCCACCCTTTCATCCCCCAGTCCACCCTGAGTATCACTGTAGACTTGGAATGTTAAAGATTCTATGTTGTTTTTTTTAACCAATTGCCTTGATTATTCTTTTTGATACATAAATTGTCTCAAATTTGGCCAGTGAGAGCTCTCTCTAGTTGATTTTTGTATCCTTTTGACATATCAATATCATTTTTTGATCACTTGTTTACTTTCTGATGCAGAAAGAAGTCCCAGTTTCGCCTGGTATTTTGTTTGTTTGTTTGTTTGAACTTTAAAGATCAGATTTATTTGGAGAAAACAAAAAGCCCACAACCCAAAGGATGGGATTTTACATCAAGACATCTCCCAGGTAATAAGTCTACAGATTACAAATCATTTTCATAGAAGATATTTTTGTACAAATTTTACATGTATTCAGGAGCGGGACATTAATCCCCATTTCTATTTTAATAGGGGGGACAAGGCAGGGGAGAGGGAAAAACAGTTTTGGATATAACTATTTGGAAGGAGAGTAGACATGAAGAGGGCAAACCCTAGCTTTTCATTATCTACAATCAATGGTTTTTCCTTTTTAAAAAAAAATTTTAAAAATAAATAAATAAATAAATAAACCTTTCAATCTTCAACACTCTTTAAAAGCCCACTTCTTAGCTACTGGCCAATCCACACCAATTATTTAAATTCACTTGGTACACACCTTTGTCAACTGGGTAAATTATATTATGCCCACTGCTGCAGCACGCATAAACCAACACCCCTGCATGGATGAACAGGGCCTAATCTAGGACTGATGGGAGACGGGCTTGCAAACCAAGATCAAGGTGTCGTTTCTCTGCTAATACTGTCTACCAAGCCGATCCCTACAAAAATGCACATACAAGCAGGCAAGTTTAGCTACTGTGTTGCAAGAGAAACCAGGACCTTGTTAAATAGTTCTCTCCATTACCATTTATTCTCTCAAGGGAAGCTTTAAAAAAAATAATAAAGAAAAACAACACATTGTTCTGGCTACCTCATGAATCCAACAAGCATTGGTGTAGCATTTCAGTGGAGAAGGAAACGTGGGGGGAAAAAAACTCATCAAGGTTGTAAAAAAGGCTCCCAATTTAACTGTCCCTGTCCCTATTTATCCACCATCCAAGACCATCCATTATTCTAGAGCACTCTGATCTATAAAAGGGGTCAAAGCATCAGGAGCAGGCAAGGAGTGAGAACCAAAAGACATCAAGAAACCGATTTGCTTGAGAAAAGCAGCGATTCTTCCTTTCACAGCTCTCCATGGCTGAGAGAGAAAATGCCCAAGACATCATCTATGTGACTTAAGAGACTGCTTTTTGGGAGGTTAAGAGTAGCACGAAGAACTTAAGATGACCACAAGAGTCTAAGTTTTTAGTTTCAAGGTTTAAACAGAATGTGGATATATTCAAACTTTCGAAAAGGACAGTGTTTAGAAAGGGTAAAACTAGGACACAGAAAACACTGGGAATTACCACGACCCCCAAGTGCTTCCGGCTCCAGGAAATAACCGTTCATGTGTTTGCTGGAGGTCACACAATTTTCCCCTATTACCTGGTACAAAATGACTCATCACTTCCCAAAAGCTTCTTTTCAAACCACGATTTTCCCATTTATTTTGGTCCAATGCAGTCCTATTCTTTATGGCTTATAGTCTCACTCCCAGCTACCCCCCTGGGGGGTTAAAAAAAAATTCCCCCTAGGCTGGCCCCCAAAACTCAGAATTAAATAAGAGGAGGGGCTGGCAGCCTCCTGGAGACTAAAACAACTTGAGGCTAAATCTACCTTTCCAAGAGTGGAAAATTTATTCAGATAATATTTTGAGAATTCATATATGCCACAATAGGATAAAAACTAAAAGGTAGAAATCTCACAATTTTCCTTCTACCTCCCTCCCCTACTGCCCAACCAGGTTCCAGACGTTATTATCACTGTCATTACCATTTCTGCTAAATGGAGGCCCCTAGGCACTAATCACACTGGCAACTGTGTGGTGACATAATGCACCACAACTCTTCCTCTAAAAAGCTGTAGTCCCTTTCTCTCTGGCTATATTGGCGATTCTCCAGTTACTTCAATACTTTAAAGGCTGCAGCAGCATGCAAAATAATTTCATTTTTTGTTTTTAAAAAAAGGTAAGAAAGGTCTTCAGGAGATGGTGAGTTTTATTTTGTCTTGTCTGGATAGAGGTTTTGATTTGCTCTCGAATGTTCCAGGGTGGAGAGAAACTAGGAGAAAGCACAGGATGTAGAGGTCTATTCAGCATAATCTCCCTCGTTTTCATCTTCACCATCAACAGAGAGAGCAGCATACTTGCTTGCAGAACTGAACTTCGAAGCTGGATTTTCCTCAGGTTTCTTTGGCTCAGGTGCAGATCTGGAGTCTTGATCCTTTTTGCCATCTTTCCTATCTGATTCCTTCCAGTGGTCTTTGTTCCCTCCCTCTCCTGGTCCACGGCTAGAGGTCTCAGTTTGGCCTTTTGGGACATTCATCCCATCTACTTTATTTTCATCTTTCCTTGCTGGTCCTTCCTCAGATGGTTGAGCTGGAGCTACTTTTCCCCCACCACTTGTAGGGGATTGCTGCTCTGCGTCTGAGCTCTGAGATCGAGCTGGAGGGTTAGAACTTCGCTTCACCCAAGCATTCTCCTTTTGTGGAGGGGCTGGCATTACCTTTAGGGGCTGATCAGGTTTGGGAGGTTTAGAAATTGGAGAGTGACAATCTTCCTCCTTATTGAGTGTTTCATTTTCTAGAGACTTCTTTCTCTCTCTCCTTCGTGCATTTCTGCCAGATGTGGCGGAGGTCCCAGTCTGTGATGACTCACTTCCTGTCCTCGACCGTCCGTTCCTGAGTTTCTTCACTTCGCCAGCTTGGGTGTCTCTCCCGAGGCCGTCGTTCTAGTTTTGGCTCATCCAGCTGATGCTGCAACTTCTCTTGTTCCTTCTGTAGCAGTTCTTCTACTTCTCTTTCTCTAGCAGCTGTGTCAACAGGCTTTGCCCCTCCAAAGATAGAAGCAGCTCGACTGGACTGGGAGGTACTAGCAGAGGAATCATCTTCCTTAGGAGTACTCCGAGGCTTTAGATTCAGTTTGGGTCTTTGAGGGGGACCTCTGTCATCGCGCCTATAATCATCCCGAGAGTAATCATCTCTGGAGCTCCACGACCGATCATCCCGTCTGTGGTATCCGTCTTCATAGCGGTCCCCGCCTCCTCTGTAGTCATCATCCCTGCGATACCCACTGCCAAATGCTCTTCTGCCACTGCCTATCCGGGAATCATAGCCTCTGTCATAGTCTCTGCTGCCTCGGTCATCATAGCGATCCTGGCCACCATATCGATCCATATCCCGGCGTGGGCCATCCCGATACCCATCCCGATACCGGTCTGAATCATAACGATCTCGATACGTGTCTCCAAAGCTATCATCACCTCTTCTAGGTGGGTAGCCATCAAAGCGGTCTGTAGCAGGACGAGCCCTCCAGTCTGTATCTGTTTTGTCAGAATCCCGATTTCTATCACGGCCAAAAGAACGATCATCCCTGTCTTTATCCTGTGCTTGATCAGCAACGTCCACTCGAATTCTCCTGTTACCTAGAGACTCTTCATTGAGACTCAGGGGACTGAGCAGGGAATCCAGGTCCTCAAATTCAGCATAACCAAAACCTTTCAACCTCTCTGGATTGCTGGGTTCACGTGGTAAACGCACTGCACTGATATTTAATCCTCTAACGAATTCCTTAATTGACTCTTCTGTCACATCATAGGATAGGTTCCCTAGAAAAGCAGTGTAGGGTGGCGATTTGGGAAGACGGCTCCGGTCGATATTGGGTTCCCGAGCAGCCCGTGGAGCAGTGGGAAGGATGGAACGGTCAATTGGAGGCGCCCTGTACACATCGTCGTCATTACTGTGCCACGTTGTTGAAACATCTCCTTCCAGATCATCCGTTTCATCAGCCCAGCTGACTGGTTTGGAAACATAGGTGCTTCCTCCACCAGTACCCCCATCCTCAGCCAGAAAGTCTGTTAGGGAGATAGTCTTCCCCTTCTTCTTCTTTTTTGCTGAGGCTGCCATGTTGGGAGAGGGAAAGAGAAGGCAAAAAAAAAGCTCGCCTGGTATTTTTTGTGCTCCACCTGTGGAGATATTTTTACCAAGGAGCCCCTTATATCAAGAATGATGTTTAGAAATCAAGATTTGGGCTCCAGAAGCAATGGCATCTTACTATTAGATGCCACTGCTTCCAGGACTTCTGGTACACAGAGCTAGGAAATATAATTTTTTAAAAATTGAGTTTATAATGATATTTCCAAATAAAATTTAATTTTAAAATTTTAACATTTTATTTTTAAATATTTTTTAATATTTAAGGAGCATTTATTTTTTCCTGTGAACTATTCATTCATGTATTTTGCCTACTTTCCTACCAGATTTGGCTTTTTCTTCTTTAAGAACTCCTTACATATTAGGGATATTAACTCTTTGCCTGTTAAATAAATTGCAAATATTTTTTCACCCAGTTTTTTATTTGTAATATCTGGCCCAGGTTCAGCTGCCTGGAGCTAACTTTTGAAAAAGGGCTCCTTATTCACATAGGCAAAACTACAAGGAGAGGAAAATGAAGCTCCTGTTTTCCAGGTGTCAGGCACTGTTCTGGATGCTTCGTGAACATTCTTTACTTGTACCTTGTGACAAATCTTTGAACATTATTCCTTATCTAAACCCCACATGGTTAAAATGTTTTAGAAGTCAGAATTTTTCAGTTTTTAGAAAGGTCATATGGTACATAGAACCATCTCTACTCCCCTAGCAGGACCTGGGGCAGCATCCTGAAATCATATACATAAATATTTCTATAGTAAAATGTATTAGTCTTCCCATTATTTAAGATAAATAAAGGCTATAGTTAGTTTCACCTCCTGTCAGGTCAGGCTTTGCTGCCAAATGAGATATGAAAAACGCTTTTGATTGTCAGAGCTTTTCAGCTCTGAAAATCAAATGGAATTGTGGATAAGAGATAGTGGGCTTCTATTAACCTTGCTTTATAAGCAAGGAAAGGAATATGTTTTTAACCAAATAAACCTTCTGACTTTTACCCTTCTTTTCTTTTTTTCTTTCTTTTGTAAGGAAAGAAGGAGGGAGCAAACTTGAGCATTAAAGTGAGCCCCATGAAAACTACAGTATTTCTCTACTTCCCATCCCACCACCTCCCTGGAGCCAGGGTGAGATTGAGAGAGGTAGCCCCTCCAGTAGCCTTTCAAACAATATTTTTTATACACTTCTTCAAAATTTATTTGAACAAAAGACTGTTTGCTGCCTAGGGGATGTTCTGTGTGGGAAATGTGTGAGGGGGAAAGAAAAGACACACACAGATACCTTTAAGGGTAAACAACCTTTATCCCATGTAAATGGCCGTGCAAATATAATAAGCAAATCATATAATAAGCAAATTGCAATAGAAAGGGAAGAAGGGAAAAGATACATATATATATATATATATATATATATATATTTTTTTTTTTTTTTTTTTTTTTTACACTCACCAGACTATGGAGGATTCATCACCAGACTGGGAAGCAACAGCCTGGGCTCCAGAGTCAGCCATTCATCCATGCACAGACAACTAGAGGTCTCATGAAGCTTCAGTACAGTCTGGGACCCTATCTCTTTCTGTAAGGAGTTGTTTGGCATGGGGCCAAGTCATGAGGGCCCTTCATGACTGGCCTCAAGGAACGCAGAAAGTTTAACTTGTTTTTGCAATTGTCTGTTGTTTTTCAGTAACTAATGTACAGAAACAGATTTCTCCTAAACTGTACTGGACGAATGCCTCAAGGGGCTCATGCAACCTGCTCCGGGACTTGGTGACTATTGTTTGTGTTCATGTTCAACTGAGTTCAAATTTAACATTTAACTTTCCCTCCACAGGGGAGGAATAGAGAGGAAAGACACAGAGGACAGTGCTCAGCCTCTTCCTGACATTTCAAGCAATTCTGCTCAGACCCTAAACTTGCATGCCTCTCTGAGACAGAAGGTAAACTTTGCAGTTGATCTGACTCATCTTCCTTAGTGGGGTGGTCAGAAACTATCTGCTTTTTTAAAATTTTTATTTATTTATTTATTTAGAGATGGACTCTCACTCTGTTGACTAGGCTGAAGTGCCGTGGTGTGATCATGGCTCACTGCAGCCTTGAATTCCTGGGCTTCAGCAATCCTCCTACCTCAGCCTCCTGAGTAGTTGGGGCTACAGGTGCATGCCACCGTACCTGGCTAATTTTTTCTATTTTTTGTAGACACAGGGTCTCACTGTGTTGCCTAGGCTGGTCTCAAATTCCTGGACTCAAGTGATCTGCCTGCCTCAGCCTCCCGAAGTGTTGCAATTACAGGCATGAGCCACAACACTCCAGTTAAACTACCTGCCTTTACTCAAATGTGTCTTTTATGAGGTTCTTACGTAGTATTTTTAATTACTTTCAGCTACATATCACAGTCTCTCAGAGAGGAATTCTTCCTCTTATTATTATTATTATTATTTGAGATAGAGTTTCCCTCTGGTACCCAGGCTGGAGTGCAGCAGTGTAATCTCCGCTCACTGCAACCTCTGCCTCCCAGGTTCAAACAATTCTCCTGCCTCAGCCTCTTGAGTAGCTGGGATTACAGGTGTGTACCACCATGCCCAGCTAGTTTTTCGTATTTTCAGTAGAGATGTGATTTCACTATGTTGGCCAGGCTGGTCTCAAACTCCTGACCTCAAGTGATCCACCTGCCTCAGCCTCCCAAAGTGGTAGGATTACAGGTGTGAGCCATGGCACCCAGTCCCCTCAGAGAGGAATCATAATACTACTTTTTCCTTTGTCTTATTCTATTTCTGGTTCCATTTATAGAGTATGTTCCAGGCAAGTATGCTGTGGGCTCTGGTCTGTAATGGTGAAATAGTTCCTGATTTGAGGATTTATCTTGCTTTATTACCTCCATTTATCTAGCTTCTAGGGCCTCCTTCCCTTCTGTGGGGGTTTTACCATCTTTTTACTTTGGTTCTTTATGCTCTATCTCCTTTTTCCATCAAAACCAACTTATATTTTTCCATGGTGCCTTAGAGCACTACTGAAAATCTAATAAGTGATTTCTTGATAGAGAGGAATGAGTTTTCCTTTAAATATTAAATAATACAAAAAACTGGATTAATGAGACATTTCCCCAGAGTTTTGATCTGTTAAAATAATACACCTTAACTCAAGTTCTCTAATGGGGGGCAGGTGTTTTAATCAACACCAGGTAGATGGAAGGCCTGCATACTGAGAACTTTTTATTGCATAATTCACACAGCACCCCATGATATTACCTCTTCCCCAAAGAGCTGTCACATGAAATCCACTGTTTTGGGTTTTAAAAAGCAGCTCCTGTTTACAGCTTTTTTTTTTTTTTTTTTTTTTTTTTTTTTTTTTGAGACAGAGTCTCACTCTGTCACCCAGGCTGGAGTGCAGTAGCACAATCTCAGCTCACTGAAACCTCTGCCTCCTGGGTTCAAGCGATTCTCCTGCCTCAGCCTCCTGAGTATCTGGGATTACAGGCGCCTGCTAGCACACCCAGCTAATTTTTATTTTGTATTTTTAGTAGAGATAGGATTTAGCCATGTTGGCCAGGCTGGTCTTGAACTCCTGGCTTTAAGTGATCCACCCGCCTCAGCCTCCCAGAGTGCTGGGATTACAGGCGTGAGCCACTGCACCTGGACAGTTTTCAGCATATTTGATAGCTAAAAGAATAATATCTTTACTTTGTACCAAGCTCTTAAAAATCAATGAAAAATAATACAAAAATCTAACACAAAATACAAAAATAGAGAAAGACAAACATTCAGATTTTAAAATGGGAAAAGGACCAATAAACATAAGGAGAAAGTCAATCTTACTAGTAACCAATATTGTGAAAATGGCCATACTGGGCAAGGTAATTTATAGATTCAATGCCATCCCCATCAAACTACTAATGACTTTCTTCACAGAATTGGAAAAAACTACTTTAAAGTTCATATGGAATCAAAAAAGAGCCCACATTGCCAAGACGATCCTAAGCCAAAAGAACAAAGCTGGAGGCATCATGCTACTTGACTTCAAACTATACTACAAGGCTACAGTTACCAAAACAGCATGGTACTGGGACCAAAACAGAGATATAGACCAATGGAACAGAATAGAGCCCTCAGAAATAATACCACACATCTACAACCATCAGATCTTTGACAAACCTGATAAAAACAAGAAATGGGGAAAGGATTCCCTATTTAATAAATGTTGCTGGGAAAACTGGCTAGCCATATGTAGAAAGCTGAAACTGGATCCTTTCCTTACACCTTATACAAAAATTAATTCAAGATGGATTAAAGACTTAAATGTTAGACCTAAAACCATAAAAACCCTAGAAGAAAGCCTAGGCAATACCATTCAGGACATAGGCATGGGCAAGCACTTCATGACTAAAACACCAAAAGCAATGGCAACAAAAGCCAAAATTGACAAATGGGATCTAATTAAACTAAAAAGCTTCTGCACAGCAAAAGAAACTACCATCAGAGTGAACAGGCAATCTACGGAATGGGAGAAAATTTTTACAATCTACCCATCTGACAAAGGGCTAATATCCAGAATCTACAAAGAACTTAAACAAATTTACAAGAAAAAATCAAACAACCCCATCAAAAAGTGGGCAAAGGATATGAACAGACACTTCTCAAAAGAAGACATTTATGCAGCCAACAGACACGTGAAAAAATGCTCAGCATCACTGGCCATCAGAGGAATGCAAATCAAAACCACAATGAGATACCATCTCACACCAGTTAGAATGGCGATCATTAAAAAGTCAGGAAATAACAGGTGCTGGAGAGGATGTGGAGAAATAGGAACACTTTTACACTGTTGGTGGGACTGTAAACTGGTTCAACATTGCGGAAGACAGTGTGGCAATTCCTCAAGGATCTAGAACTAGAAATACCATTTGACCCAGCCATCCCATTACTGGACATATACCCAAAGGATTATAAATCATGCTGCTATAAAGACACATGCACATGTGTGTTTACTGTGGCACTATTCACAATTGCAAAGACTTGGAACCAACCTAAATGTCCATCAATGATAGACTGGATTAAGAAAATGTGGCACATATACACCATGGAATACTATGCAGCCATAAAAAAGGATGAGTTCATGTCCTTTGTAGAGACATGGATGAAGCTGGAAACCATCATTCTGAGCAAACTATCGAAAGGACAGAAAACCAAACACCACATGTTCTCACTCATAGTTGGGAATTGAACAATGAGAACACTTGGACACAGGGTGGGGAACATCACACACCGGGGCCTGTTGTAGGGTGGGGAAGTGGGAAGGGATAGCATTAGGGGAAATATCTAATGTAAATGACAAATTAACCGGTGCAGCACACCAACATGGCACATGTATACATATGTAACAAACCTGCACGTTGTGCACATGTACCCTAGAGCTTAAAGTATACTACTAATAATAAAATAATAATAAAAAAATAAAAGACTCCTAAAAACTAAGATCCATAGATTGGAAACTACTTTAGAATAACTAAACTCATAAAAATCATAAGTAATTAAATCATCTGACCATTTTGAATGTGTGCCAAATTAATGGCAGAAATCTGAAAACAGACCAAATTAAGTATTCCCCTACTTTTTTAAGATCAAGTATAATTTGAATACAAATAGTATAAAGAAACTGAAAACTAAATACTTGACTGGCATTGCAACAAAAGAGATTTCACATTTAACACAGGAAAGGATGTCATTAAAAATTAATCCTTGCCTGAAAAAATTGTTTTTTCCCCCCACTTTTTCTCTTTTATTCTGGAAAAAAAGGAAAAGATAGGAACATATAGATGATTAGGTAGCAGAATCATGTGGTGGCTAAGAGCCCAGTTTTCAGAGCCATACAAAGTTGGGTTGGGTTTAAAACCAGGCCTCAACTAAACCAATATATAGGAAGGATCTTGACAAGTTTCTTCACACCTCTGAGTCTTTTTCAAATGTAAAATAAAAATATCTATATACAAAAAAAAAGAAAGAAAAAAGTAGAGAACACCACATTTATGCATATCTGGGTTCTTGTGTATACATTTTTAAGCCTCCTACAGATTATAAATTCCTAAATCTCCCCAAGTTTATAAATACACTGAGCTGTCACCTACATGGAGTCCTTCCTGATCCTTCCAGCTAGAAATTGCTGCCATGTCTAGTCTATGTCATCTGTATTAACTTGCTTACTGTCTCCAAAGTGGGAGCTTCTTGAGAATAAGAACTGTGTTTTAGTCTTCATTGAATCTGCAGGGCCAAGTAAAGCCATAACATACAGTAAGAAGTTAATAAATGTTGAATAAATAAAGAAATGAATGCATGAACATAGAATGAAAATAATTCTAAAGTTAATGACCCTCAGGGGGCACTGGAGGTAGGGAAGAGGGGAGACACAAAATTCAAGTAATCATCCTCAGCACAGACTAAACTGGAGACCCTACCGGTCAAAGCAATCAAATACAAAATGTTTTCAAATCCCACTCTGGGGAGGCTCAGACTGCATCCAATTTCTGCACGAAACTGCACCTCAGAAGCCTCTCCAAGGCAAGAAAAAACTGACAGCACCACTATCAAGATTCAGACAGGATGCAGCATACACAGAAATACTCATTAAATATTTATTTTCCAAATCCCCAATGACTAGTTCTGGCCAATGAAATGTGAATGGATGCCACGTGTGTCAATTCCAAGTGGAGGCAGTGAAAAGTCCAAGTAAGATGCTCCAGCCTCTCTATTCCGCTGCCCTAGCAACTACATGTTCCAGATGGTGCATCTACAAGACGGTGGAGCCTAGGTCAACCTGGGTCCCTGAGTTACTATGTGGAACCAAGCCCTCCACCAACCACAGCAGGTTTATAGCATGGTGATAAATAAATGGTGTTTGTGTGACCTATGGAGATTTGGGGGTTAACTTATTCCAGCAGCATGACCTAGCCTATTCTGATGAATATAATACAGAAAGAATACTTGAAAAGAAGATGGAATCTTTTCCATTAAGGTGCTTCTCAGTAGTTTCCTGGATCCAGGCTTCCTTCTTCATATTCTTTCCAAGCAGCTCTCTTAGATCTCTCCTTGCTTCTTCTGTTGGACTTTGTTGGCTTCCAGTCACAATTTATTTCTGATTTACTGGCATCTAGATTTAAAACTCTTTTTAAAAGCAGCTGGACCTAGGCGCATTCATCTCCTTTTTCTTTTTATATCTGTCTACTGACAGCCATCTTCCCATTTCTTCCCTTCTGTCCCTGATCCATGACCCTTAATCTCAATCATCTCTCCTTTCCTCCTGGTTAATCAATCCATCATCTTTGATTTTATTTTTATTCTTCCACCATTCCTATACTAATGAAAAAGCAATATATGCCTTTTAAACCTCTTCAGTTTCTTCTTGACTTTTTTTGGCAAATCTGATCCCCAGATTTAGTGCTCCATACACAAGCTCCTTTAATTGCCTTCTTTGGGTAAGAAGTAATTTCACTGGACCCGGCACAGTGGCTCAAGCCTGTAATCCCAGCATTCTGGGAGGCCGAGGCGGGTGGATCACCTGAAGTCGAGTTCGTAGACCAGCCTAGTCAAGAGAGCAAAACCCCATCTCTACCACAAATACAAAAATTAGCCAGGCATGGTGGCATGTGCCTGTAGTCCCAGCTACGGGGGGCGCTGAAGCAGGAGAATTGCTTGAGCCTGGCAGGATGGAGGTTGCAATGAGTCGAGATCGCGCCACTGCACTCCGGCCTGGGTGACAGAGCGAGACTCTATCTCAAAAATAATAATAATAATAATTTCACTGAATTGCTTCTTTTCTTAAAAAATACAGTACATACTTTTAATAATAAGGACTGTTGTATCTCATTTTATTATTAATACAATCTAAACATTGACTTGGGTGAAATCATAGTCAGGATCAGAACCAGGGATGGATCCAGGGAGGAGACTGAAGCTTGTGCAGTTCAAGGAACCCTCTATAAGTAAAAGAATACAAAATTAGCAATATGAAATTCCATGGTCCTACTTCAGCCCTCTCCAGTGCAAGGAGAAGTATGGCAGAGAGGGGGTTGGAGTGGAAAGAGGGAGCCATCTTAACTAACTGCATTAAAAATAGTTTACTTTTGCGAAGTTTACAAAAGCATGTACCCTTGCAAACACAGTGTCAGGGCCCCTCCCAGAACCTTGGAGGTAGCTGGTGCAGTGAAATTTAGGTCCTGAAGCTTAAACTTCATTAGCTCACGATTAATCCACCTCTGTTCAAAAACTACTGTAATTAACAACTCCAAAGCAATTTGAGTTCTTGTGAGTGGAGATTCTTAAGGTAATTGAATCCAAGGTTAGTGACACCACAGTTCTCTCTCTAGGCCAGAAGACAGAAGAGGAACAGAATTTGGGGAGCCGATCCAAGATTGTCCATCCATGGCTGGTACTCAGAGTTCAAAGCCACATGCTCCCACACAGGTGATCTGTCCTACACATGAAGCTTCGGTGCAGTTTAAAGTCCTGCCTGTGGCCAGGCGTGGTGGCTCACGCCTATAACCTCAGCACTTTGGGGAGCCTAGGCAAGCAAATCACTTGAGGTCAGGAGTTGGAGACCAGCCTGGCCAACATGGTGAAACCCCATCTCTGCTAAAAATACAAAAATTAGCCGGGCATGGTGGCACGCACCTGCAATCCCAGCTACTCGGGAGGCTGAGGCAGGAGAATTGCTTGAACCTGGGAGGCGGAGATTGCAGCAAGCCGAGATTAAGCCACTGCACTCCAGCCTGGGCAAAAAGAGTGAGATTCCAAGTCTGCAAAGAGATTCTTTCTTTCCTTATCATTGAATCCTTCCTCATCTGGGCATGCTAAGGCCTCTGCAGGCCACAGGCATCTGCTGAGGCTCTGATAGGGCCCAAGATTGGGGAAAAGCCTGTACCTACTTACCTCCCTTATGCCCCCATTTTACCTCTCAGCTACTGCTGCCCTAGTGCCTGAAATTAACTTATGTGTTTATGGCCACTTACTCTTCTCGGCTAGATTTTGAGGGGAGTGACTCTGTATTTCCAATGTCTGTAACTTAAACGATACTCAACTAATGTTTATTGAATGCTTGAATGGCACTGTGCTAGACATTTAAGAGAAATTACCTTATGTAAGAATTGGTTTTGAGAACATTACTTAGGCAATTTATATTTTCACTTCAAAGGCATAAGTTTTCAGCAATAAATAAAGCAAATTCCTATTTTCAAAAACAGAAGCAGTTTATTTCCAACAAACATATACAGGCCGCAGATCTCTCCCGTCTCCAAAGATACAAGACAAACCACAACGTACTAACAGGTGGAGACCCTGAGGCCTCTTACTAAATCTTAATCAGACACAACAGAGGAGGCAGGATGTTTATATATGTATTTATCATTTGGCTGTTTTTCAATTAAAACCACATAGAAGTAAAACAGGAAGAAAAAATTGCTATGAAAAAAAGAACTGCAGCACTGTCTACATGACATAAGGATAGCAATGGGGTGTGAAAAGAGTTGTGTTGCTTGGGAAAACAGCTTAATTAGCCTTTCACCATTGAGAAAGGAGAGTACTCCTGAGCTGACCTTGAAGGATGCTGTAGAGACAACAGAGTAAACAAGAAGCCCAAAATAATCAGGTGATGTCTCAACTTCCAGTTCAACGGAATCATAATTATGTACCCTGGTAGACGTATTCATCCCTTGAGAACTAAGCATCTAAATCAAAGTTTCCAAAGTTGCAGGAACAAGAAGCACAAATTTTGTGTGTGGATAACAGATAACAATGAGGAAGGCCACTTCTCCTTCCAGCCCTCCGTTCCTAGACCTATATTTTCTGACTATGGGAGAGAAATTACCATATATTGGTCATTGATTCTGATCAGACACTACATCTTATAGGACAGAACCCTAACCCCTCATGGCATTGTCACTTAGCTGATGCCATAATTGAGTTGTCAACAAACTATTTTATAATTCTATCAGACCAGTTACTTCTGAGTGATGAAATGATAGTGGTAAGACTGGTGAATAATATGGGTATGAACATATTGCCTGGGTTTTTTGCTGTACAATGAATTCCTAGTACAGAAGCAGTATTACATAGGATATCATCATGGTGGATAAGAATTCAATACATCCAAGAATCATAGTGCCAGCAGAAATATCATGTACAGGAAAGACAAATCCATATCAAGTAAGTATCTATTCCAGTGAGGAAAATAATCATGTCCTTATCCATGATGGAAGAGATCTGATATAATCACCCTGTTCATTGGTCCAATGAGCAGCACTGAAGTGGCTTGGGAAATCAGTTGGTTGTCATTCACACAAAAAGTCATCTTGTCAAGATGACTTTTGAGCACCACCTCTGTAACAGATGACATTTAGTGAGTATTCACATGGAACACGAATATCTCCACACCTGTGCCCTTACAAAAGATTGATCTACATGCCTCTTCTCTAACTCATTGTCAGTCCTCCCTAAGTCCCTGAACATAGAGCCAAACCATCCGCCACTACCCATGAATCAGTATAGATCTGTAACTTCTGGCCTTTCTCTTTCCAGGTAAAATGGACAACTAAGTGCACTGCTCAAAGTTCTGACAAGAAGATATTTCTTCCTAACCGCCTTTCAGGATCACCCTTGGGGAATTCTATAATGCTGTGGTCATCCAGTTTTAGGAGGTAGCAGCATATCATCAGAATCATCTGTAAATCAGACCTGAATTTTTTTCCTAGTCAATTTGTCATAGGAAGTTCCCCATGGAGCCTAGGCGTGGATTAAAGGAGAGGTGGCAATGCAACAGGATTAGATGCCACTGAAGATGTTAAAATATAAAAAGTAATGCGTTTCAGCAAGTGATAGCTAACATTTTTTAAACTTATGTGGCAGGAACTATTGCTTATGATGATAAGTAATAATTATTCTAACCTTACCAATAACCCTGGGAAGTAGGGTTTTTCTTAACATTCCTATTCTGCAAAGAGGAAAACCAAGTTAAGTCAGTCATCTAAGGTTACCCAAGTAGCAAACATGGTACTGTGAAGCTGGGCAGTCAGACTCCCGAGCCTATGCTGTTAACCCACACCCTGAGGCCTAGCAATCTTGGGTAGATGGAGGAGAAAGCAGAAAGTAAGGGAGAGGGCAGCAAATCTGTTGCTTGCTATTAAGGTCCTTTGGCTCCATCTGCTGTTTAGTGCCAGAGTTGGCAATTCCAAATAGTTTGGACTCCTATAATTGATGTTTTTTTCTTTCTCTTACTGGAACACATATGCCTATCATGTTTTCTTCTTCTATTGTTAGGTCGTCTATTCAAACAAAAAGATTATAGATCTCATTTTAACTTCCTAAGTGAGCCCAATATGGACCAGAAGACTGTTGGTGTCCATCTGTTTGAATGTTGAAGGCTGTTTGACTTTGTGCCTGCTTCTAGTATGGTCCAAACAATTGAAGATATTTTGGCTTTGAGAACACCATAAAGAAGAATGAGATCCTGTCATTTGCAACAACATGGTTGGAACTACAGGTCATTACGTTAAGTGAAATAAACTAGGCAAAGAAAGACGAATATCATATGTTCTCACTTATTTGAGGGAGCTAAAAATTAAAACAATTGAACTCATGGAGATAGAATAGAAGGATGGTTACCAGAGGTTAGGAAGAGTAGCGGGGTGGGTGGGGGGAGTGGGGATGGTTAATGAGTACAAAAGAATAATTAGAAAGAATGAATAATATCTAGTATTCTCTAACACAACAGGGTGACTATAGTCAAAAATAATTATACATTTTAAATAACTAAAAGAATATCATTGGAGTGTCTGTAACACAAAGGATAAATGCTTGAGATGATGGATACCCCATTTACTCTGTGTTTCTTACAAATTGCATTCCTGTATCAAAATATCTCACTTAGCCCATAAATATATATATACCTACTATGTACCTACAAAAATTAAAAATAATTTTTTTTCAAGAAAAAAAAAAAAGTAAGAGAACTGCAAATATATAATAGTGGTAGTCATGGTAGATTTTGCTGCCTAGTAGCAGCTGCCAGATATTGCTAATGGAGTCAGCACAAGAATCTTTTTAAACTGATGAAGCCTTTGAAAATTGTGTCAAGTTAGAAAAATTTTTTAACCCAAGTTAAGACATGAAGTTTCCTTCTTTGTGACATGTTAGATTAAGCCATTTTGCAGGGATTGGGGGATAAGAGTTCCCGGATTTTTAGAAAACTTCAACTAGACTAGAGTTCAGAGGAGAACAAAAGATATGACCCTGAGTGGCAGTCGCATCTCCAGACAAGGGACCCATTGCCTTAGCAGATTAAATACGCAGTTTGCTAGAAGACAAGCTATGTAAGCGTCTTAGCCTAAGGTTGTGAGTGGGTTGTTTTACCCTGATTCAACTATCTCTTTCCTTTTCTTTGAAACACAAGGCTGCCATGTAATGTGTGTTCGAACTTTAATAATTTTCATCTATTGTTTGAACAAATGAGGATTTGTTTTCCTACATGAATTGTCCAAGATGGTAGGTAGCGAATCCAATATGAGTTCCGGATCCCAAGGAAACTGCAGCCCGCTCATTCAGAAGCAGGGTCTCCAGAGGCTGTACATTTCTAAAGAAAAACAAATGAGTAAATTGAATAAAACCCAGTTGTACAGTTTGCACTTGAGGAAACTTTGACCTAGAATAGTTTGCCCGTCTCTAGAATATTCTTAAATTTGAAGACCAGAAAGTGTCTCAATTGCAATGAATTCCTATTTTCGTTGATATGAGAAAGACCATTAAGCATCTATATGAATCCTGGAAGGACTCTTAAAGGCCACTGGGATAAGTCACTATCATAATAGTCCAATAAATCATACCTCCCTGTATCCACATCTCTTGGCAGTGTGTCATTTCTTCTCTCCCCATCAAGAGATGGAGTCTATTTCTTCACACCCTTGATTCAAGGTTGAACTTATAAGTTTGTAAAATAGCATCTGATATTAGAGTAACTAACTCCCCTCCCTAAAGTTGCCATCCCACTCCACATCGAACTGAAACTGCACGTTTCTTGCTGACCACCACAAAGGGACAACAACCAGGGACTGACCAAGAAGGGACTTAGGGTAAAGGCACAGTGCACCCCATACAACTCGGGGAGAGGAGGAATGTACAGGTGCACACGCAGGGCACTCGCTATGCAGCAGGGCCTGTCATGTCCCTGTTGGCCCCCTAAGTCATTTCCAGCTTGGGTGTATGGGTAGAGGCTGCAAAGCCCCTGCAGCCAGCCCGGGCTGCCAAGGGTCATTCTCCACAGGGACAGGCAGCCCCAGTTATGCCTGCCTGACGCAGCAGTCTGACCTCCTGCCTGTGGGACCAAAGGCAGAGCCTTGTAAAATCAGTAATTTGCTTTGACCAATGAAAGGTGGCAGGAGTGAGATTGTGTGAGATCCGGAGACTTGGTCTTGAGAGCCTTGCAGTTCCTGCTGTGTCACTTTGACACCCTGAGACCACCATGCTGTGATGAGGCCGTCTAGCCTACTGAGGAATTCTCCTCCATCTTGGAACATTCCAGCCCTAGTTGAGGCATCAGATGACGGCAAGTGGCCCCATGAATGTTACCCAGCAAGTACAGCAAAGAAACGCCCTGATTGCCAATCCACAGAATAGTCAGAAATAATTATTGTTGTTTTAAGCCACTAAATTTTGGAGTGGTTTTTATGCAGCAAGATATAACTAATACACTTCCCAAGAAAATGTAAATCCCAAAGCAAACTCTGAACGCTTTAGGCGCACTTCACTTGCCCTTTACGAAAAACTTTCCTGCTTGGAAAATGAGAACACAGAGTCTTAATCGTCACCACCTTAATTTACCCAAAGCTACTAAATATGTTAATATTCCCCATGGGCTGATAGTTCATAGAACTAAATCTTAAAATGAACATTTTCTACCTGGGAAAGGTTTTTTCAAATGAAACATTGGATTACTTTGAATTATAAATTCATGGTTAAAAGTAACTACTACACTGATGTGAAGAAAGAAAAAATAAATACATAAGAATTAGTGTGTATAAAGTAATAATTTATTAACAAAAGATTAAACATTCTTATTCTCTAACACAAACACTTTATCTCCTTTAAAAAGTTGTTGGATGGAAATAAAGGAAATCTTACTTTGGTTTAATGACTTCAGGGTCCTTGCTGTATTACAAGAAAAAATACAAAAGAAATACAAATGCGCAATAGGCTAAAGATTAACCATCACGTAAAGACTAAAGAGAAAATAAAAATAATACAAAAAGTTCTGGGTCTAAGTTTCTAAAATTTGTTTTCTTTTTGACTTTTATTGCAGGTTCTGGGTCTAAATTTCATTCAAATATATTGTTACAGATTGAAAGATATTTTACTTACAAACCTTTTTGTCCTAAGATCTTAAAACCAAAAACTAGAAGTTATGATGGTAAAATAAATATAATTCAGATCGAGAACATCCTGGCTAACACGGTGAAACCCTGTCTCTACTAAAAAAAACTACAGAAAACTAGCCGGGCGAGGTGGCGGGCGCCTGTAGTCCCAGCTACTCGGGAGGCTGAGGCAGAAGAATGGCGTGAACCCAGGAGGTGGAGCTTGCAGTGAGCTGAGATCCGGCCACTGCACTCCAGCCTGGGCGACAGAGCGAGACTCCATCTCAAAAAAAAAAAAAAATATATATATATATATATAATTCAATTTTACTCCAAAGTAAATTAATTTGTGAATTTTGGACATACAATATTTCTATATAAATATTCTCTCCCATCTTTCCCACAGTGTAAAATAAAAATGCAAACATGGTATTACAGCTTATGCAAGAGTTTGGATTTTCCTTTCTAAAACACTAGATTAAATGAAACCTAAATCACTTACACTTGCCCTGGAGATAAAGTAAGTTGTTATTTCCTTTGTCATTATTTAAGAGTAGGTAATGTATATATGGGTGTGAGTGTTTAAGGAATTTGGGCCAGGCACGGTGGCTCACGCCTGTAATCCCAGCACATTGGGAGGCCGAGGTAGGTGGATCACCTGACATCAGGAGTTCAAGACCAGCCTGGCCAATGTGGTGAAACCCTGTCTCTACTAAAAATACAAAAATTAGCCAGGCGTGGTGGCGGACACCTGTAATCCCAGCTACTCGAGAGGCTGAGGCAGGAGAATCGCTTGAACCCGGGAAGCGGAGGTTGCAGTGAGCCAAGAGCGTGCCATTGCACTCCAGCCTGGGCAACAAGAGTGAAACTCCGTCTCAAAAAAAAAAAAAAAGAATTTGATTTAATTAATATTTAAATTGATTACAAATAATTTAAATAGTGTCTTTGTAAAACGGGTTTTTTTTGTTTTGTTTTTGACTTTTATTCCGGGTTCTGGAAGTACACATGCAGGTTTGTTACATGGAAAAACTGCATGTCGCTGAGGTTTGGTGTACAAATTATGCCATCACCCAGAGGAGTGAGCATAGTACCCATTCGTTTTTCAAACCTTAATCCCGCTCCCACCTCTCTGGTAGGCTGCAGTGTCTATTGTTCTTATCTTTATGTTCATGTGTACTACATGTTTAGCTCCCACTTATAAGTGAGAATCTGTGGTATTGGGTTTTCTGTTCCTGTGTTAATTTGCTTAGGATAATGGCCTCTAGCTGCAACCATGTTGCTGCAAAGGACATGATTTTGTTCTTTTTTGTGGATGCATGGTGTTCTATATTGCATATGTATCACATTTTCTTTATCCGGTCCACCATTGATGGGCATCCAGGTTGATTCCACGTCATTGTTATCATGAATACTGCTGCAATGAACATATGAGTGCATGTGTCTTTTGGGTAGAGTGATTTATTTTCCTTTGGGTATATACCCTGTAATGGGACTACTGGGTCAAATGGTAGTTTTAAGTTCTTTGAGAAACCTCCAAACTGCTTTCCACAGTGTCTGAACTAATTTACATTCCCACCAACAGAGTGTAAGTCCCCTTCTCTCTGCAACCTCACTAACATGTTACTTTTCTGACTTTTTAACAATAGCCATTCTGACTGGTGTTAAGATGGTATCTCATTGTGGTTTTGATTTGCATTTCATTAGTAATGTTGAGCATTTTTTCATATATTTGTTGACCAAATGAATGTCTTATTTTGAAAAGTGTCTGTTCATGTCCTTTGCCCATTTACAAAATGGTTTTCTTAACCTTAGCTGTGACTGCAAATTTTGCAGACTACAAAGTCACCCAAATGCATTATCTGAGTAAAATTTTAAGATGCCGCATATCTCTGATAAATTTGGGTTATCAACAGTAATTGTATGAATCATTGATGCTAGCTTCAATATAATTTCTAAAATCCCAAGATGAATTTAGAAATTTTGACTAATATAATACCACCACAGATACTGATAATGATATCATTATCAGTATTATATTAATAGGTAATAGTCTATATCTGAAGATTTCTAAAGTAATTTCAAAATCTATTCATGTTTTTAATGCAAAAGCATGAATAATATAACATTCACAATTTTTTAAGAGAATAATTCTTACCAAATAAGGAAAATAGAAGTTTCTGTAAACTAATGAATTGTTTTA